AGTGCCTCATGTCAGTTTGTTTTTAAATGGATTCCCCAATTTTCACATTCTCTTCAGTCCAAAAGCAAGCACCCAACAGGGGACATGCAAATGATTCGACGAGGGCGTAATTTGATTTGCATTGCTTTTTCCGTGAAGCTCTTTCTCACTCGATAAAGCTACTATAAGGACATCAATTCATTGACGTGCAACTGAGCTACTCAGAGTGGGATATCCCACTCCAGTTCTGAGTAGTTAGTGGGTAGTTAGTTACGTAACTCAATTTGTTGTCATTTACAGAAGAGTCAGCTGAAATTTTAGGGTGCAAGAGAATCTGGGAGACTTATTTCTTTGTGATTTATATGGCATGAATTACTCCTTCTGGATTCTTTTTTTTTCAATAGATTGTGGTTTTCCTTAGTTAATTCCAAACACTTGTCGAATCTATACTTCACGATGAGGAATAAAATTCACTGACACTAACATTAGAACGCACTGAGCGTCTTCCATCAGTGTCTGAACTGAAGCTTCTGGGATATTTTTGCACAGGGGGAAGCCGGGTTTCATGGGTGCGGCCATCTTGGAAATGGGAGTTGGCCCCGTTGTTGCGCTGATGAATGAGGAAATGCCAGAATGGACTGCCACATCTCTGTCAAAATGGAAATTCAATTGAAATGAAAAAGATATGACGCTTCTCGAATCATTTCTGCACCTCATGTAAAAAGGAGACAAAAATGGAGTGAGCCCACTTTAGTTCTCAGTGGCTCTGTTTATTATCCTTCTCTATCAAGTATTAATGCCAAGTGAGGACAAACATACTTGAAGGCAGGGGTGGCGCATACTGTATATGAAGCACCGAGTGAGTTTGATCCCCGAACCTTTTGACTGTGCGGCACACCCGCTCGCCACATGTGGCGCCGTGCCGCGTAAATTTGACAAGCGTGACCTCAACTTTTCCTACAATAGTAAATTCTCATTCTCAACGACGTAAACAAGGCGTGGGTACAGGGAAATATAGACCGATGACCAACCCTGTGAAACACACTGTAGTAAAGGGAAGAAAAAAAAGATTTCTGTGTCACTCCCTTGGTGAGTGAGTAAGTGTTTGTCTTTGTTTGTCTCGGGAGCCGATGTGTCACGAGCCAGATGCGTATTGCGCATGTGAATGTGCATATGTGTGACTTGGGGAGCATGCCTGAGCAGTTCCAAATCATCATCAAAAGAAAGCTTGCCCACACCGGAAGCAAGGCCGGGGGATGGGGGGGGGGGCACCAGACCTCAAACTCAATTTTTCGAGGTAAGCCCGAGCTCGCCCTTCTAATTCATAACCTCCCACCTCAAAGTGAAAAATATTTCAAAGCACCGCCACTTTTAATCGACACTTAGCTGTTTTTGCTTTTTCTTTTTTTTTTTTTTTTTTCAACCGAGCATTCGTGTGTCTTTTGGCAGGGTGTGACACGCAAGGGAGCAATGGAATGAGCGGACTGAAGAACGAACCGCAGACGAGGAGTTTTACAATTGTGTCAGGCTGCAGTCTCATTGGCTGTGGTCGGGCGAGCTCATCTGGCATGCGCGACGCCGCTTGACTTCCCACGGACATGTTGAAAGGCTCCCTCCCTTCACAAACACCTTAATCAAGGCATTATCATCCGACAAACATGAGTCACATGCCATGCGACAAGACTTTGCATCTCACTGAAGACCGTTGCTTGCGTCAAACAGACGAAGCGTACACGCATTCCTGATTAAAAGGCCGCAGTTTGAAAAGAGAAGCTGTGGCGCTCTGGCGCTAAGAAGGGCGCATGTCGTTCAGAGCGACTGGAATTCTTATCGTGACAGGGCATGTAACTCATTCTTGGGAAGTTAAAAAAAAAAAAAAACGTCAAAAGAGTTGCATAGCTCAGTTGTGCGCGTTGAATAGCATATTGTGCCCCTGCATTCACTTCTCATAAAATCCCACAGTAAATTCCAAACAGGAACTTCATAGAAGCACCACCCTCATCCAGGAATGCTTGGGAGCACTTCATTTCATGGATTCATCGTTTTTTTTTTGTACGTGTGCGCACAGCACTTGGTAACACACACACACACACAAGCACACAATATCACACTGTTCAAACTATGCTTGGTGATTCTGGTTTTTCCGGTACTCGCCTGCAATTGCAGTATGACAAAGAGCTGTTTGTTGAGCGAGCCACCCCATTGGTCGACTCGATCGTTACACAGGCATGTGATGAGTTGACTTGTGCCTGCTTCAAAACAGCGTCTTGTTGGCCAAGTCTCTGCCGCCCCCCCCTGAGATAAGTCTGCATTGGTGGCGGACCACTTCTTGCATCATTCAACCGCCCCCCCCCCAAAAATTTGCACGTCCACTGGTTTTATTCAGTGAAACGACCTCGGGGATTGTTCTAGCACACCGTACGTACGGCACCGAGCAAACTTTGGTTTACCTCACCTAAGGGTGGGGTTCGACACGCCCAGAACACAATCGGGTTCTGCCGCATTCTCTCCTCTCTATCCTGCTTCTTTCTTGCCTCACTCTTTCCCTCTGCTTCACACTGCGCGGCGAATACGGTTTCTAATCTCAGATTTATCACCATGTCGCGTATTTAATCGCGAGGTTGCGATGCCAGCATGGCCCCCGGGGTGGAGCACTTAGTGTCGATATGGATCTATGCCGTAGTACGGGGGAAGAGAATATCCATTGTAACTTGAGAAGTCCAACAAATGAACGATATAAGCGCTTTGTTTACACAAGTCCAGCTCTGCGTGACGGAAATGACTGATAACGGCACCTCCAGACCGTAGGCACATCTGTAGCCTTTCATCAGGCCAGGGACCGTATTTGGTCACACTTGAAATTCTCAATGGCCGTTTTCCACGCCAAAGTAAAAACATATTGAAAAATATTTCAATACTACATCATCGGTGACAAAATGTAATGACATAGAAACCTTTATCTTTGCCACGGTAGCCAGATCGTACAAAGAACCGCAGCTATGGCTAGCAACGCCATTTCTGCGAGCCGAAACAATATCAGAAGGCCTGACCTGCATTTATAACCTTTGTTTGAATATTTGTTCCATGAAATTGTTTTCATTTATTCCCTACTGCTCGCTTTCTTTTTTTGGTTGCACTGCTTCCAGTGCTGTATGTGTGTGTGTGTATTTTTTTTTTTTGGGTCCAATTAGATTTTAGCCGATAAGTGCCGCCATGTCAATCTAATCTGCCCAGGGCCATTACAATCAGAAGTGCTGTTTGCTGAAACTTAAAACTACGTGAGCATTTAACAAATCAAATTTCAGATTCAAGCTCACAGCCTCGTGGGCCTTTGGTAACATCCGCATTTTGCCATCCTCTGTGGGGTCCGAGCAAAACTTGCTACAGCCAACTTTGAGTCTTTCAAATAACGGTGGTGGCATCAGGTCAAATGTTTGGGCTCGGGCCGCGAAGCCGAAGGGTTCTGGCTCAAGTCCCACTCGGGACAAAATGTTGGAGAGATGCTTGACTGCTTCCAAAGCGCCGTCAAATTGCCCTTGAGCAAGGCACAATCCCCACGCCCCTCCTCCCAGCTCTGAGGTGCGGCACTGTTAGCACATCGTGTAATGCGCGCCTGGATGTGCATGATTTGGTTCTGTGTGTGGTGTGGAATGCAAATACACAGCAAAGCACAAGTTGACTGTCCCTTTAGGCGAATTATAATAAGTACAACATTTGAAAGAAAAAAATCTGCTTATAACTGGAGGGTTCAAACCCTGCCTTTTTATGTACCAGCCTTATAGTGTTTTAGTGCTGTTGTATATTTTTGGGGTCTTTATCGCATGTAATTATTTTTTTTAATTTCCTGCTTTTATTTTATGTTATTTTCTCTTCTGACATCTCTCTAGCCTTGCACTCCTGACGCGTTTTTACATTCCATCAATCCCACTTTTTCCAAAGTCCAATACTTCATCCGCCCTTTCCCCAGTTGACCCCTCCAAGCAGCTCCCTGCATGTCAATCTGGGACAAATCTTAGTCGAGCCATGCAGTCATAGGCCTGTGGTCCTTGCATTCCTTCCTCACGTGACGTTCCGCTGAATCCTCTGATGCCGATTTGCCTTTCCAAAAAGTCTGACTCATTCTCTGGCCTTACCCCTGTCCCCCCACCCCATCCCCGCCCTGACTCTTAGACGAGGCGGATCCTTTCCTCATTCGCCAAAATGGATGCACTCATCTGACCTGCCTTCAGGTTATCCACCAAATCACTCCGAAGGTCACTTTCCTGGCTGTTAAATAAGTCACGACGAGCACCTTGCTAACATATGCACGGGACCACGAGGCTCAGTGAATTGTAAACTCCAACAGTTCGGGAGTGGCAGTTATTCAAAGTAGTTCCATGTGTCAAAAGTGCACAAGCAGGTTCAACTCGTGTTTTATTTGAATAAGTACACCTGATCACATTTACATTCATGTTTGGAACTTGTCTACACTGAAAAAGTGGAGAAAAATCCATTTTATTTTTTCAAGTGGCTGCACACGATTTGGATTTAGCGCCATTTTTTTTTCTAGAAATAGATAGTTATCTTAAAAAAATCTAGATCCAGATGATTTTTTTTTTCAGCATACGCGCTGTTAATCATAACGATCACCAAATTTGTTTCTCTGGGTTGTTTTGTTGAAAATCCGTTTTTCGGATATCGTGCTTTCCTGCTTTACGCTTACTTTATGAATATCGCAAGAAATAGCACACAAATACATTTGATGTACCTCTTGAAATCCACGACAGTCGGAAAGCAAAGACGAAGCAACACGTACCGATGACGTGCTCGCCGTACATTGGGCAACATGATATCATTTCAGGGACCTTGGCCGTTAAATTTTCCCTTTTACGAAAAAAAATGCGGTGCCGCCGCACGTGGTGGAGTGGCACATGACTTTGACTCACTGGAAAGACCAAAACCATATACCACAAGCTATAAACGAGCAATGTGGAATAATAATTCATTCCGAGTGTGAAGCGGCCTCCTCCATTTCTCGTTACCTTTGCCTCCATGTCTTCGCTCCACCCGTCTCTTCCCCACCCTTCTTTTTTTTTTTCCTCTCTTTCTTCCTCTCAAGCCTTGACATGCCCTCAATTGCCCCCACCTCTTTCTCGATTGCAACCAGCAACATTCTTTCTTCCTGAAACTTCTTCCTCTGAAACAAAAGCAGGAAAAGAAGGGTGTTGATCGGGAAGAAATGCTACTGGAACCTTATGTTTTTTGCGCTTGTGTTGATGTCTGCAGCAACTTAAAAACACACACACACACACACACACACACACACACACACACACACACACACACACACACACACACACACACACACACACTCATTGTAATAGTTTTAATGGCCTCAGACTTTCTGGATTGATGGTCAAAAAAAAAAACGGAGACACACCCCACTATTTTGTAAGTCTTCCGGTGTGGAAGCTATTTAATATGCCAACGGGGAGAACTTCTGCAGACGTCACGACCGATGCTTTTGCCCGTATCGTGTGTGATTATGATTCGGCCAGTCTGTCGCCATGGTAACCTGCGCACATTCATCAACGTCCACTGTTAGGGAGTTTCCCCCCCCCCACCCCCACACACCAAAACCTCAGTGAGTCATCTGCTGCCCTCCCAGAACAAATTCACCATCAGCTGAGTGACAAAGTCAGGAGACACCGAAGGAGAAAAAGGATGTTGTATAAGAGTCCCCCCGCGGGGGCGTGTGTGGACAGAAAGGGGGAGGGGCTGGGCCAGCGGCGGCGAGTTGTGGGGGTGCGAGCTGGACCACTAAAAACTAAGGGGTGGGTTGGACCCAGTGAAACGGAGTGTGGGTTTTTTTTTTCTTTTGGGGAGTCGGCAGAGGCAAGATGGGTGTGTGGACTTGAAAAAGAAGGTGGGGCAAAAGTAGGCGGACTGGTCGTCTCTCCTGTTCGTACTTTGCCAGGCTGAGTCTGAAATTAGTGTTCGAGACAGACAGCCGTCAAACAGTAAGTTGTGAAGATTCCTATTGCCGAACTCGGTGAACAATTCTTAACTTTGAGAAATTGTTGCTTGTTGTAATGAGTAGTTGAGAGTGCGCTTGTGCGCACCCACTAGTTCTTTATCTGTTTAAAATAACATTTAGGATGTTTTACGCTTCTATTGCCACGAGAAGGGCCGTTTTGGGGTTTGGAAACGTTCGGTTTATTGCGGTGTAATGCAATGTAACGTGCTTGTGTTGAATGTGGCGGGGAAAATTGAGAGTGTGTGTTTTTCCATGTCAAGTTTCCAACTTCTTGGCATTCCTCGTCTTTTCTATGCCCCCCCCCCCCCCCCC